GGTATAATATAGAAATACTTTATTTAAATAGGTTTTTTTTTTTTTTGTAGTTAACACATCCAGTTCCTTTTAAAGAAAACGAAATAATATGAATAATTAAGTTTGTCAAAAAAAATAAAAATAAATCAACACACTCATAGTGGAATATGTCTATATAATGACACTATAAAACAGCTCTTTCCTTGTCTCAATTGCACAACAAATAGATTACAATTCTCAGCATTAAACCCCAATACAGAAATGCAAATATATGACAATTCAATAATAAAATAACTTTCCCCACACTTTATGGGTGATATTTCACTTTTTGACTTTTTTTCATACAAAATTATACATTTGATAAAATGCATGCATTAATATATTAACTTTGACAGCACTAGTAATAACTTATGTACACTTAAAATGTAACCTTGGATGGGCATTGCTCTGCACAGTCAAGATATCAGCAAACAGGTGAAAAGATGAAAGATTTCATTAATACTAAGACCTCAACATAAATGAAAAACTGCGAGATAATGGCAACTTCTTGTACATTTCACATGCATTTTGTAATTGTTTTTCTCACATCTATCTACCAATCGCTGATCTAGCTCTATATGTATCGATTAAAGCTGTGTCGGGTTTGACATTAGCTATAATTACACTGAGATTCTGCTGTTGATTAGCTAGAGGTCACAACGATTTTAGCCTGCTGTAAATTTAAGGGGGGAAAAGGAGAAAAAAACATAGAAAAAGGTGACCTTGGTCCTCATATTTTATTGACTCTCATGTGTTCTGTGAATTTCTGGCAGTGCTGGAGAACTACAACGCTGAGGTCATAAACCAGCATAAAATTACAACCGTGACTACAGGATTCAATGAATTTTAGTAACGTGCTGCTGACACAAAGTTAAATGACTGACTTCCTCAATATGTTGCTTTAGAGATAGGCCTCAGCTGAAGGGTGTTGACTGACACATGAGCTGTAATGCTGCAGAACTTAAGATGTAGCATCACACCACACTGCCACTAAGTGACAAAGCACTGTGAAGCTTGGAGGTATGAAAATGTTAAGAAAAGTGAAAAAGAAATAAAAGCATTTATATTAGGATGCAGTAAAACATTCCCAGCTGCCAGAGGAATTGCTTTATTTATGACTTTTTTCTCTTCACATCCAGCTGTAATAGAGCCTCTGTTATCAGAGTAAATGAACATGGGGGCTGCACAGTAAACCTGAAGTGCTGTGAAAATAATGAATAAATTCTGTTTCTCGGAGGAGTTTACTAGTTTATTTGAATTCCTTTAAGGAAATGCGGAATTGCTACAGAGTCCAGAGATGGAAACTGCCACTCCTCGTTTGCCCGACGGAGTCGAAAACTTAAGAGAAACTGGCAAGCATAAACACCTGGAGTTGATAGTCAGAGATCCTCACTGACAAGAGCCCTTATTAGACTGCCCACAGTGTGGGTTAGCTGCTGGAAAACAAAGGGTCTGGACATATGGAGTTCACACAGGGAGGTTACTGAAACACCAGGATCAGGAACATTATTTAATTCCACTGAAACAGGACATTCTTTGACTTTGATAGAATGCTTCGCAGTAGCCATTATAAAAGTGCAGTCTTCTTTATTCTGTTCCCTGGAGTCATTCCATGCTGCTGTGCATCTAAGAGATCGACATCCTGGACAATTCAAGCTGTTCATTCATCAAATTGAAAACCCCATGTCGGTGAACATAATTTTTTGTAGAAGCTTGCACATACACTGCTGAAAATCATTTTCTCAATCAGTATTTTTGTTTGTGTGTATACACACACACACACACACACACACACATACATACACACACACAATATAAAATTTACTTGGGAAAGGAAAAAATATATAATTTTAGATATATATTATACAGAACTGTTAAAGAAAAATTTGTAAACTAATGAGAAGAGCAATGGGAGCTCCTGTGTGTATGCACTCAGGCATAGGCGTGCTCAGCGCTGTCAAAATAAAAGTCCCAGCGCTATCAATTTAAAAGTCCTGCTTCGTATAAAACAGAAAAACTTACTAATAATTAAAACATGCAAAAAATACCGGCTGATATAGCAGTTGGCTACTATTCAGTGTGAATAGGTTTTTATTTGTTCTATTAGAAACAAAGTTGTTTTTCACACTCCCATGCTGCTACACTCAGCACAAAAAAGATATTGAGGAATTTTGTTTGAGACACATTGCAGCAAGTCAGTGTTAAAGGCAGGGTAGACAATTTCGGAGAGGCTAGCAATAGCAAGCTAGCTTGGAAAGCATAAGAACCCACCCTCCCTGCAAATCAATCTCCAAAGCCACGCCTCCTCCAAAACACATGAACGCACACAGGCAGACCAGAGGCTGACCAGCGATATAAGAGAAAGCATTGGTGGAGGGTTGAATGCCACGCTGTCAGATTACCTCATGTCTCATTCATCGGTGAGAAAACATTACAGTACAAAGCACATAATATTGCAATAATGACGCCTTCCGTTCTCGCTCGGTCTGCGATGATGACGTATCATGTCTGTGCAAACAGGGTGCACGGAGGTATGCAAATACATATGTTGACAGCCACAGGCAGGTAGCACAGCCTATCGTAGCCCTCCGACCAAGGAATATGATTGGACAAACATTTTATGGACCTACGCCTTCCACAGACGATATAAATACATATAAATACATTTAGACCACTTAACTTATTGATTGCTTTCGGGATGTGAAGAGACTTTCAACCAGCATAACAATTTTTTTTTTTGAACCAAATCACCTACCCTGCCTTTAATCTAATCAATGAAATTACTGCCAAAAAAGTTTGCTAGCAAAGGGTTTTTTGATTATGTCAATAATACCAAAAATACAAAAAATGTTCATAACGATAATTAAACAAACTGAAAATGATGTGACAAATAACACTGTAAGATATAAATAATGCTTTTTTGAAGACAAATCTATACAAAAAATGACTGATTTCCAGTCAAAATCAATAATGCCACAGACTGACCTCCTTCAGCTGTACGAGTTAAAGCAGAACAGGGAATGAACACCGTTTACAACCAGTTGATTAAACCTCTCAAAAGGATCTACATATAGCCATGTAACTAAACTATGAAACTATGACTAAAACAAACAAAAATATGTAAAAATGAAGATACCCTTGAGCAGCTGCATATTCTATTTTGCTCTTAGTTTTAAAAAAAAGTATCTATAAGCACCACCATAACCCCTAAACATCACATAAATAAACCAAACCAATGCAGGGAACCTGACATGCCAATCAGATGGTGTCTTTCTGTTTCTAAGCAGGCAGTACTTGGGCAAAATGATCTGCAATGTGGACCAGACTTTATGCAGATAGTCAAAGTCCAGTAGTCCAGAGTGTACATACTCTAGAATTGTGCTAAGACACTCAAGGCTGTAGCTGGATTTCAATCAGACTGTGAACGGCATGACAGACGTCTCTTAACAGTACTGCCAGGCTGTAATAAGAGTTCAGTCCTGCCCTTGAATACAGAATAGACGGATATAGATCACTATGCAATGAGCAGTCTGAACATCAGTGCAGAGAAAAATGCTCCATCTCACGGTCAGAGTGGAACAGACCCCGATATTCATGCTTCAATATGCTCATTCTTGGGAAATAAAGCAGAAACAGAAGAAATGCCTAGTCCTCCAGAGCCCAATTAACTCCTGCAAAAGGAAGTCAAGAAAGTTGCATTGAAAACAACACATGCCCAAAAATCCTTCATTACTCTGTCAGTCTCTTTCTTAAGTTTGGGCTGAAAGGTTAAACAATAGAGCAGCAGAGACACTTCACGCTTAATTTAACCAGACTTCTCATCAACATAATTATCAAAATCATGAGAGCCATTTTGATGCTGTTAGCAATGATTACTCGCTTCTTTGCTACACAAATTTGTTTTACCTATAAATACTGGGTAATTAAATTTCACATAGCAGCATTGTATTCAAATGAGAAAGCTGCACTTCTGAAAATGAGAAGTACTATGTAATGTCATACTAAATTTGTATAATAACACCGAGGCCCTTTATATTCATCAAGTCTGAAATAATGAATTAAACAAATTAAAAAAATTATAAGACACTCTTTCTCATCCACAAAACACCTGATTGTGTCAAATTTCATCAATCAATTGAGGTGCAGGGAAGATTAAATAGAGTATTTGACACTGGTGTTACTTAAGATCACACATCTGATGTCTTTTTAACTGGAATTAAGAATTATGAGAAAAATATCTGGTTCTAATTACACCCGTTTCAAACACCCTCACCTCTCAGACCCGTGTGTCAATTCTCCTCAGGAACGTTAATTAGGTAATTCCACTGGATTCTTCCCTGTCTCCCTAATATATCCACCCATAATCTATTATGACACAATAATAAAACTTGCAAAAAGGCTGCAATTAGTTTCACAGGTTGTAAAGATGGGCAATTAAGGTCTCGCTAAGGCTTCCTCAAGTTCACGTTGCTGGATTCCTCATCTTCATGGCATCTCTCATAAATTACACAGCTAGGTTAAAATGGGTCACACTAACTGATCTCCAAAGCCACGCTTTCAGACAGCTCTATAGCCGCCTATCATCTAGTGTAATGCACTGATGAAACACTGTGACGCTGACATGATGCAGGTCAATGTGTTCAGCTGCTCTTAAAAGCCTTTCCTTTATTATATCACTCTCAATATTAGAATGCTTTATAGATATACAAATCATGCAGAGCTCTAATGGAATACGCAGACACAGTACTCTTTAGCCAAACAACTTTCCATTACTAGTTTTTGTAAAAATTAACTTTTTGCTACAGGTGGATATTAGAAAACTTTTGATATGACAATTTATTCATGGTGCTGGCTAAAACAGCACTATTACTGTTGCTTATGCTTTATTCAACACCCTTAAACCAGTGTATTACCTATACGCACATAAAGACATTTTATTAAATAATTTACTTTCAATAAATACAAGTATTTTGATTGTATACCTTTTGAGTTGATGCAAGCCACAGTTTGAGTCCTGCTTCCATTTCCACAGTTCCCTTCGCTGGGCACACAAGCGCCCTCAAACTGCACCTGCCACAGGAAGCATACTGGATCCTCACAGGGCATTGACTCCAGGAGATGAGCACAGCTTTCTGTTCCTGATCCTTCCTCCAGCACCTCTCTCCTCCTCTGCCTGCAGCCTGGGAACAGAGCGAGAGACAGGTGGATTAGGGTTATTGTGAGGGAAAATGAGTATCAGTTTCTGGCCAGTGAGTTCGGAACTGAAATTCTAGTGGTGGCTAAATAAGTCTATAATAGAAACTCATTTGAAAAGGCTTTCTGACACAGCTTTTGTTAGCAGAATAAATTCCTACTCCTGCTCTGCTGTAATTTGCCTGAATACACTCTTTTCATTTACTCATTTGTAAAGCTATGAGCTATGACTGCAAACTGAGACGCCAGTCCTAAATGAAATAGCACTGGAATATGAACATTTAACACCTAAAAGTACTGGTTAAACATTAAGGCAAAACATTGTTCTCATTAAAAAAAAAAAAACTATGCATTGTGCTGCTAGAAAGATTGTCATCGTCTTTTAATGCTAGTCTGTCAGGGAAAAACAAAAACAAAATACAAAACTCTTAGACCAACTGTAATTAATATTTCATAAATTGGCATACGTTCTCAAAGCCAGCTCCAGCCGATATCAATATGCATTACAATACAGTGCATAAGCGAGAAAAAAGATGAATCAGGCATTACTCCAAGCATAATTTATCAAACAAGATGATCTGATGACTAACATGAGGGTGGGATGCTAGCTGTCTGGATACCATCTGATCCTGTTTACGGTCTGTGATGAGTAGATACCAACTCCTCATATCTTTGCTCCTTGACTATGTGCATGCCAGTATTGAGATTTGGTTCATCACACACCCCTGCAGGGGGCTTGACTTGGCAGTCCTTGGAAAATCATAGTTTCAGCCAAGCCTTTGAAATAATCAAAACACCCCACAGCTCTCAACACTGCTTTGACACAAAAAACGGTAAACCCTATAAGACATGTGTGTATTGTGTGACGAGAGCTCTATATATCATATATATAATTCAAACCCTGGGGTATTACCAGTTTGTTTCACTTATCACAAAATAATTGAGACGACATGAATAACACCCTGTATCTAAGAACAGATGTATATTCTGTAGACTGCATTATGAATCATTTGTTCTGTTCCATAAAACTTGTCTATATTCTACATATGTATTCACAACAATGGCATCTTCGGCAAAAAAAATGTCCATTTATCTCCGGGGACAGTCAATATGAATCTGTTTTATAACTTTTGTAAACCACTAGCATTTGTTTCCACAGATAACAGGTCAATAGTCTTGTATTGTAGAGTATTGTAACATATTTTGCCCTTGTCATTATACAAATGTATGTTCTCATTTGTCACAAAAACGCACGCGCACACACACACACACACACACAAAATATATAACAATATTTCAATATATACTTCAGCACATGCACTAAAATGCAAGTTTTCTTCATTGAAGATGCAACATGACAGACTGAAGCTGTAACAAACAACTTCCTGCACCTCTGAGCCCCAAAAGCAGCATCCTTCTTCTGTAGATGACAACAGCTCAACCCCAGGACAGTAAATGAACAAATTACAACTACACATCATTCTGAAACTACACCTGAGCAGCATAGTGGAGGACGTACTCCCTTGGAGAACATGCATGCAGACACGGTTCACACACCAACAGCCCTGTTTCTGGACCAAAAGGAATGTCTGGATGGGCGATGCCCTCCTCCAAACTGTGAAAAACAATTTGGTGGAGACATATCCCTGCGGACATTAATAATTGAAAGGTTCACGGGAGTTATCGGACTTATTCATGGGAAAGACAGGTGGGCTGCAGGCAGCGTTTCACTTCCAATACTTTAGAACTTTATCAGTCCCACTTCAATGCTCCCTACTCACATTAATGCTGGGTAGAATTTGCCACTTACAATCATTGCCAAACCAGTGTTCAATTCATTCCTCCACACACGCTTACATTCACCCAAGATCACACAAAGAGGATAAAAAAATGACTGTGGGCAATTGTAGATTTGTAATGCACTAGAAATGTTAATAAAACAACTAAAAAATAAATCCACGAGGCTCCTCTGATGAAATCTATGTTTGTATGTGTAGGAAAGAACTTCATTTTTCTATTTATGAAAACTCTAGGCTTGGGAGTTCTGCATAGTTCATCCAGTATCAAAGATCAAAAAATACTCTGAAACAGCAGTGAGGTGAAATGCTTGAAAACAGTAAACAGACTCTTGTCTAACAAGGTGCAGTCTAAATAACAAATAAAAGAGAATCTAGACACCCTACCTATTAGACATTCCCATTGGGAAAACACATCACAAAATCTTCAAGACAGCAATCAGTTATAAAACAAATCCTTCTCAGATGGGTTTCTTCCGATATTTATCCTCGAGAGTTTCAGAAGAAAGCTTAATGTCTCAAACTGATTTGCCAAAATATCTGCAAGTGTGCAATCAAAAGTTAGAGATTTCAATATGAACATCAAGTTCTTTAAATTATCTTGATGATACTTTTTACATTTTGTAGTTCTATACTCTAACTTCTATTTATTATTTAATAATTAAACAATTGAATACCAAAATGTAAAAAAAAAATAATAATAATACCATATTAGCTTATTTCACACACACACACACACACACACACACACACACACACACACACACGCACACACACACAGTGAAATATCATTATAATTTAAAATAACTGTTTTCTGATTTTGCAATATATTTTAAAATGTCATTTATTCCTCTGATGGTAAAGCTGAATTTTCAGCATCATTACTCTAGTCTTCAGTGTCACATGATCCTTCAGAAATCATTCTAATATGTTTATTCTAATATGCTAAAACTGAGATACATTTTTTTTCAGGATTATATGATGAATAGAAAGTTCAAAAGAACAGCATTTTTTTAAATAGAAACACACACACACAGTGAAATATCATTATAATTTAAAATAACTGTTTTCTGATTTTGCAATATATTTTAAAATGTCATTTATTCCTCTGATGGTAAAGCTGAATTTTCAGCATCATTACTCTAGTCTTCAGTGTCACATGATCCTTCAGAAATCATTCTAATATGTTTATTCTAATATGCTAAAACTGAGATACATTTTTTTTCAGGATTATATGATGAATAGAAAGTTCAAAAGAACAGCATTTTTTTAAATAGAAACCTTTTGTACTATTATAAATGTCTTTACTGTCACTTGATCAAATTAATGCAACATATTATATCATATTATTTTCACATTTAACCAGAGGCGGACAGTAGTGAAGTACTTTTACTCTGCTGTAAAGGTACTTTTCAGGTGTCTGTACTTTATCAGAGTGTTTTTCTTTAGAAAACTTTACTTCACACCATTCCAAAGCATAATATTGTACTTTTTACTGCACTACGTTTCATATTACATATCATTTAATACTTAATTACATTAGAAATCTATTATTTTCTTACTTTTACTCAAGTAAAAGTAATTAAAAGATTTACTTGAGTACAAGAAAGTACTACATTTTTAATGTTCTTAAGTATTAAAGGTAAAACAAACAACAACTTTTATTTATGAAATGAAGTGCAGTAAAAAGTATGACATTATGCTTTGGAATGTAGTGAAGTAAAGTTTTCCAAAGAAAAACACTCTGATAAACTACAGATACTTTTTAAATTTACTTGAGTAAAGTAAAAATACTTCACTACTGTCCGCCTCTGCATTTAACATCATAATTTAGATCTTCATACCTCTAGAATATTCATCTTGTTTCAGTAAGGCAGGTGAATGATACAATTGCAGCACTGTTTTAAAGCTGGGATTATTCTTATAATTCTTATCCAGAATGAGTCATTTCTGACTGAAAGCCTCACTTATGTATGACTGATTTGTGTGACATCAGTCTGCCCTCTGCTAAATTCTCTCATTATAGGGCAGTACTCTGGCAGCTCGCTTCAGTGACAGATGTTATCACCTCTCACCAAAAATGGTGTCAGTTTTAGATACTCTGTTACCTCCGGGTTCAGCTCAGTGGAGAGGCGTACCAATCATCAATTTTAAACACATATTTAAAGTGGATTTTATAGCTTCTATTAATAAAAGAGCATTTTTTTTTCCCACCGATGACATTTCATTCCCATGTTGTCCCACCTTTTCGTCCATGTGTTTCCATGCAGTTGTCGTGGAGACAGGCCCCCCAGGAGGACCAGGACGAGAGCAGGCATAGCTGTGGGCATAGTATGGAGCAGGGCTGCACCGCAGAAGGCAATTCTCCTACACACAGATGCCCACTTACCGGCCTAGAAACTACCGAGACATAGAAAGAAAGAATCCATATGTCAGGCAAATTTAGCCAGAACTTTTCTTGGCAAAATATAATTCAGTTTAATAAGTATAATTTTCTGAACTTTCCTGCTGAGCACCAACTCCCACACAGAATAAAATCAATTGCAAAGCCTTTGTAAACCAATGCAAGTATTTAGCTCAAAGTCTTGACAGATCTCTTCTTCTGCATTGTGACATACATTCAAGTGAAAAAATATAGAGAGAGGACTTGGTTCTTTTTCTAACTTCGCTCTGTGTTTCACTTTGGGAATCGGGCATGACCAACTGCAGAAGCTCTTATGACACCACATCTGTCGACCTGTGACAAGGCTCAGCTCCACCTATATCAGCCAGTTCGACCCCTGCCAAAGTCACTAAGGTTTCCTTTTGCTCTAGCCCTGCTTTTGTGCCTAAGGTAGTTGACTCAGCGTATAGGTGCCCATCTACTGAACTGGCAGCTTTTCACCCTCCTCTGTTCTCTTCTCCGGGGGAGCAGAAGTTGAATTCATTATGTCCGGTATGGGCTCTTCATATGCATGTGAAAGGAACAGCAGGCTTCAGGACTCCTCAACAGCTGTTTGTGTCTTGTGCTACTCCTCACAAAGGGAAGCCGTTGTCTCATCAATGGCTGTCTCATTGGATCATTGAGGCTATATCTTTAGCTTATGTTTGCAAGGGTCTTCAACAGCCTAAGAGCTTGAGAGCCTTACTCAGGGGAGCTTCTGTTCAAGATATTTGTTCAGCAGCAAGTTGCGCTATGCCACATACTTTTGTGAGATTCTATAGACAGGACGTGTCTGAGCCATCCTTAGCACATGCAGCGCTGGGAGCCGGTAGGTCTGTGCCCATTTAATTGTTATGGGTGATAGCAGTGATATGGGTGCAATCTGGGAGTGGTCCATATCTCCCATAGTGAAACACAGAGCGAAGTTAGAAAAAGAACAGTGGGTTACTTAATGTAAACCTAGGTTCTTTGAAAACAGAGTGAGATGTTTCATCCACACTTCCCTCCTTGCACAGGTACGGGAAGTAATCTCTCTATAATGACTTGGGCTAATGGCATGGGTCGACCTGGCTAATATAGGTGGTGCGGAGCCTGGTCACAGGTCGACCTGTCTGTCAAAGACAGATGTGGTGTCATAAGAGCTTCCGCAGTTAGTCACGCCCAAAGCGATTCCCATAGTGAAACACCTCACTCTGTTATCAAAGAACCGGGGTTTATGTTAAGTAACCCATCGTTTTCTCCATTGGTTGTTGACTGGATGGAGGCAGATCTGAATGCAAGCTTGCTGTTCATTGTAAGTGACAGACCTACACAGACTAAATGACTGAAATCTGACATACACCACTAGAGAGAAGTCTGTCATTTGACTGGAAGAACAGAGTTTTTGATTAAACATTACAAAGTAAAAAAAAAAAAAAAATGAAACATGCATGGATATAACGTTCACAATAAGATTGATAATATGCATTCAGAAAATAGATAGGGCAAATTGCCATATCATGTTAACTTCAAAATTAACATGTATTGTGGTTTCCAACACATTTTAATTCTGGAATTTCGTGTATCTTCAAGTGAAACAATATATTCAAGGTGAAAACTTTTATGGTGGGACATAATTGTATCCATCAGAAATTAGATAGATTGTGAATTGAGAGTGTTACATACCAGACTGGAGGCAGACTGAATGTGAATTTGTTAAAACAATCCTTAACTATTTGGCTATTGATTAATGTTATCCAATAGACTGCATGGCCTAAGAGACATCAGCGGAAAAGTAAAGTAGTTTCAGTGGATGGGAAAATTAATACAATTTGTTCCTGTTCTAGAGTAACATGCACTGGATGAATAGTTCCCAATAAAACCAGGAACATGCAGTAAGAAAGTAAAATGATTTTGAACTGACTTTGAATTGCACTGATTCTCAATGTGACTTTTGTCAAACAAGTGTTCAAAAGTTTAGGCAAACCTCTTGAAAGTCTCTTACTTTGACTGTGGTCTGTTAACATTAGTATGAGAGTCATCTGGGTCAGGTGGAAAGCAAACACCACTGTTGGTTTTCATTGATCTATATCTCCAAACAACATTGATTGAAAAGAGTCATCTTCATATGTATGCCTTTCTCAGCTCAGCATGCCTTGAATCCATCTAAACACTACTTTCATTGGCTAGTGAAGCTCCTCGAAATTAATTTCAGAGCAAGGTGACTCCCTTTAACTACCTTTAATCTTAGAAACAGTTTTTTTTTACAAGCACAGTTACTCACGGCTAACACAAGTGGCTAACCAAAAGACTTTTTGATCTGGATTTCTTAAACCAAAATGAATTAGCCTTTGCAATGTGAAAATCAACACATCTGCAGCTGAAGAGATGCACAGCGCATAGCTTAGCCATACTACTGTAGCTCATTGTCATTTAGACACTGATCCTTACCCTCTTTTCTGTGATGAGGGGTGGAGTTGTCAGGGACCTGGACGCAGTTCAGCTGCCTGGTCTGAATCCCTCCACCGCAGAGAACGCTTACATTGTTAAGCCTTCTGTCCTGCTGGCTGAGAAGAGGGGCCGCTTGACAGTCCCCCCAATCTGTGCTCTTCCACACATACCTGGAGAACAAAAGCACATTCCCGCTGTGGTGAAACACACTTCTTTTGTTTTGGCCCTATAGCCTCATTATATCGTGCTGGGCTCCTCTCAAAAGTTGCACTGGATAAACGGACACAGTGAGCTGCCGCTGAAAGAAACTAATAGGCTTAGCGTCCTGTTTTCCGGTAGGAAACCATCTACTAATGAAAAAGCATCGACTAAGCAAAGTGTTATGATGCATAAAGCAGTGGTTTTAATGAAATAACTGTCTACTGCTATTGATCAAATACCTAATCTCACTAATTAGCTTTTTCTAATCTTTGGTATGCTCGGATGCAACATGGGTTTAGTAAATAAATACCTGAACAAAACTCTCGAAAAATCATTTTGTACATTTTTTTTTTACATGTACAGTAGGAATTTAATTATTATTGGGAGGCTGAAATACAAACCTAGGGCAGTTCGGAAGTAAATCTCCGATGATGTTGCAGGCTTTCTTTTCTTCAAAAGTGGCGCATTCTTTGCCTAGTCCAATAGGAGTCTGCGTTATGCTTCGAGTCCTGACCCGAAAACCAGGCGACATATCTGATGCCCTACATGTCTTTGAACATGGACTCCAAACGGACCAATCAGAGGTCTCACAGTCTCTGGGCATAATGCACGACTGGAATGTTCCAGGACCGTTGTCAAGGGTACAAAGACTGAGAACAAGAAAACAAATAAATTAGGGATGAGATGCACAGGGAAAACATATTCAAGCATTTCAATGCTGCCAAAAAAGAGCAGAAGAAAGTCTCTGTCATTTAGAGTTGAAAGCATATAGTGAGAATATGTTTTATGAGATAAATGCCATCAATTGTTCCTCTATTGTTACTATTTAATAGGGCGTAATGAAGAACCTTTCTTTTTGTGTGTGTGTGTGTGTGTGTGCGTGCGCGTGTTTTGTTGTGATGAATTTGTGATTCAGTTAAAACAAACTTACAAAACCCCCACAAAACAAAAGATTCTGAATCCATAGCAACATAGCCAACTTTTCAGTGCATAATTTGCATATTTATTAACATGAGTAGAGTATCCGTGGCAAGAGAAAACTAAATAATTTGTCAGAGATGTTAACATTTTCTTAACATTCTGCAATGCTGGAGTGATGGTACAGCAAACGAGTGCATCTGATTTTTTTTTTTTTTTGCTTAGCAGACACCAGACAGTGTAATGAATGTAAAGTGAAGGATATTTAAATGAGTTATTCACCTTTGTGTCCTACGAAGCAATGTCTGCAATATGAAATATGAATAAATGCACAACAAATTGGATATCTAATAAGCGATTCATCCATATAAGTCATCTGATTAAATTACTTGTGTATATCATAATCCGTTTGTGTAGCATTCATTTTCACTTCATTTTAAATGATAATTAGTCTATAATTGGAAAAACTGCAGAAATTGAACTCAGGAGGGAAATATTCAAATCACTACATTTCATTAAGCATGCACGTAGGATTCATATGCATCTTATTTTTTTTTTTTTTTTGCTTAGCAGACACCAGACAGTGTAATGAATGTAAAGTGAAGGATATTTAAATGAGTTATTCACCTTTGTGTCCTACGAAGCAATGTCTGCAATATGAAATATGAATAAATGCACAACAAATTGGATATCTAATAAGCGATTCATCCATATAAGTCATCTGATTAAATTACTTGTGTATATCATAATCCGTTTGTGTAGCATTCATTTTCACTTCATTTTAAATGATAATTAGTCTATAATTGGAAAAACTGCAGAAATTGAACTCAGGAGGGAAATATTCAAATCACTACATTTCATTAAGCATGCACGTAGGATTCATAAATGAATATGTTAATTAGAGCGAATGCTCCGTCTCACTGTAAAATAACACCCCGGCCTCTCTCTTGTTATGCTACACCTGTAGTAAACCTATCAGACCCCATTCTGCTCTACATACCCCCCACAACACCCTCCTCCACTTTGAACTGAGAATGAGGATCCTCGAAAATCCATCCTTCTTAATAATAGACTTCACTGTGCTTCTAGGCATTGATAAAGCCTTTGAAATTTTTTTGTATCCATCTCCGGTCCACAACTTTATCCCGGAGATCTTTTGACAGTGCCTTGCCACCCATAGTTGATTGTTTGCTTCAGTTGCACTACCAAGCACTGAAATGGTCCAGGAAAGCTCTTTTCATGCTGAGCTAATCAAAATGAGCACAGCTGATCACAGTTCAAAGTCAGATGGATTTGTGTGCCACTGAGAAGGTGATTAGCTACACTTGATTGAGTTTACAAGTCATTTTTAGGAGGGGGATGTTCCTTTTTCCAACTCAGTGATTCTGTTTATTTTTTTATTTTTTTATTTTTCTGACATGTTGGTGTTATATTTTTCACTTGGATGTTATAAGTTGCACTGAGTAAATACAGCTGGATAAAACAAAAATCTGTGTCCGTCTTCAGGCTACAAAGCAACAAAATTTGATTTTTATAAAGGGGTGATTCTTTTCTATACCCACTGTAGATTTTCTCTCAGTGGAAATAACCAAAGATGACACAACAACCAAAAAATGCAAAGATTCACTACATCGACTCTAATTTCATAAGCTTCTGTCTTCATACACCAATGGCAGGTGACAATGGCAAAAGCGTGAATAATGAAGATATTTGTATGTGAAAGCATAGCAGCCTCTTTTCACCTGATATGAGGATTAACAAGGGATGATCCCCATTTTACAGTCTGTTTAAACTGAAACATGAAGAACTGTTGCTTTATGCTCTTATAGGTATACAACTCTCTGCATTTCAAGGCCATAATCCACCCATACTACAGATATAAAACATATTTATATAATTTCATAATTGTATATACAATTTTATTAATATATACAATTGCATATATATATAT